GTTATCGAAATGGAATTGGAGTTGAAAAGGATGAACATAAGGCATTCGAATATTATCAAAAATCAGCTGAGATGGGGAATTCACAAGGAACATATAACGTTGGCTGGTGTTATCGAAATGGAATTGGAGTTGAAAAGGATGAACATAAGGCATTCAAATATTTTCAAAAATCAGCTGAGATGGGTGATGCTGAGGGAGCATTCATGCTTGCAATATTTTACCGAAATGGAATTGGAGTAGGAAGAAATTCACAATTGGCTACTCACTGGTATAAAATGTAAGTGAAATAACTTACTTTTTTTATGTACAGTAATTGAGCAAAACTTTCCTTCTAAATATATACACTATTATTTAGCGAGAGTAATTTATTACTAGGTAATTATTGGTGTAATTGTTTGCACTTTCATTTATTAGACAATAACGATTAACCATTGTAGCTAGAGAAAGTGTGAGGTCTTATGAAAATTATTATATTGAGGATGAATTAAAAGAAGTACTTTATGAAAAGAAAGATTCGTTATTTTGGATTCCTTACAAAGAATTCGATGATATTGAAGAGATAGGGAAAGGTGGATATTCGACTGTATTTCGTGCCAGATGGAGAGAAGGAATTTTTGTTGCACTTAAACTGATTCACGGATCAAAAAATTTCCACGAGGAATTTATAAAAGAAGTAATTATCAAATAATCTTTAAATTTTATGCGTTTTTATTTCTAATCAATATTTTATTAATATAAAGTTAAAGGCGTATTGCGATGTCCGTTATGAAAATCCCACATTCTTACGATGCTATGGGATATCAAGGGACAGTATTTCAGGCGATTATATACTTGTTATGGACTATGCACTGAGGGGGTGTTTGCGTCAAAATATTAATTCCGTGGCACAATTGGAGTGGAAAGAGAGGATAAATTTATTACTTTGCATTTCTTCTGATCTTCAGATAATTCATTCACGAAACCTTATTCACCGAGATTTGCATAGTGGCAATATACTACAAGATAGTCTAAATAGTGGATACATTTCAGATTTGGGTCTTTCCAGCAAAGCGAGCGGTGCAGCAACGGAATGTAACGGGGTCTATGGAATTTTGCCATATATAGCTCCTGAAGTTTTACTTCGTAATCCATATACCATTGAATCGGATATATACTCATTTGGAATAATTATGTGGGAAATTTCTTCGGGAAAAGCTATACCTTTCGACGACTTATCCCGAAGACACTTTCAAATCCAGGTGTGTCATAATGACTTACGACCCCCAATCATGGAAAGTGCACCACAATGCTATATAGATCTCATGAAAAAATGTTGGGATAAAAATCCTGAAAATCGCCCGTCCGCGAAGAAAATTTATGAAACTCTTACCGAATGGCTAAAGGATGAAGATATTTTGAATATTTTAAAAAAATCCGATGAAACAATAAAGAGCATAGGAAATACTGGAAATACTGGAAGTATGAGAAATACGGGAAATACGCATGCTTATTCTAAAATACTTTATAAAAGCGTGATGATTCCTTACATAGATAGTAAGATAAATGATTTCGAGATCAAATAGTAAAAGTACGTAACTCGAGTACCTTCACATGGATACCGTACATGAAATCTTTATGGATAACCACAAATACAATAGGTCTCAATTTTACTATAATGTTATTGATATAAAATATACAAGGGTTTGTGTTTGGAAGAAATCAGTATATCTGTCTGGTGTGTCTGGCCTGTCGTTAACGACAGACTACTGTATATTAAAAAAATACCCTATAAAATACAGTAATTTTATTTTAAGAGAATCATAGTTCTACCCGAATATTTTACTATAGATACTATTTTTTAAGTCATATTTTTTAAAAAAGTGATTTAATGGATTTTTTTTTTTTTTTTTTAATAACATAAAAAATTTTTAAGAATGAATTGATATACTGTACTGTATAACTGGACTCTTAAGCATGTGGTATTTTATAAAATTTTATTGCACCCACAAAAAAAGAACCTCTTCCTATAACACTCTTTTATGCCAAACAGTAATTATGAATTATAAAATAATCGAAGTTATTATAACGTTGATTTTGATTAATTATAATAATTTCTGATAATTCTCTTATTGAGAATATTACACCGCAAAATCTAAAGTTGATCCCGAAACAGAAAAAAATTTTGGATTACATATCTGTTCTGAACCTGACCGTTCCCTAGTTATTAAGCCTCCTATCTAGACAGAATCAGCATTGACAATATGGAAAGAAGTATACAAGACTTCAAATGAAAAGATTGTAAAATTACAATAAATGTGAACACAGTGGTGAATATATCCGATCGATCCTCCTAAACGAGCTTTTGATACATTTCACACCGGCTTTCCATTGCCGACTTTTAATATCATTCTCATATCATTAAACTTTCCAATAACTGCCTTGGCGAGATTCCAGTCTTCCTCCCCTTGAACGGTAATAAAGTCTTGACAAAAATCATTATTATATTCGAGACTGCTCACGTCAATTCCAAAACGCGCATGGATTATCCGAACGAGGGCTAGGAATGACGTGTTGAAAGGAAGAAGTAAAACACGATTGTGAGTGAAAAATTTGAAGGTAATGTGCAGCTAAATTTATATTAATAATAGAAGCGAAACAAGATGTGGATATGGTAAATTAAATAGGGCAAAGTTACTTTAATTAGGAGAATAAGTAATTTAATTTACCCTGTTATTGTCTTGGTTGAATGATGCCGACTTTTTGTTAATTTTCGATGATTTCTTTGTTCCATTACCACTCGGCCGACTCACTTGCGTGTCGTAAAAATTCATATTCTATGTTAGAACAAACATTTAGGCAAATAGTCAGCCAAATCTCTCCTGTTTTGTATTTAAGAGATAAAATAAGCGCCGCACATTAACACTTACAATATTTTCCATATTTCCACGAGAGGAAGAAACGTTGCCATTCCGCTTTTCTGAAAGGTATTTTTGAAGGCACACTTGAAACATAACGATGGTTGTTTGATGAACGCGAGTACAAGGCAAAAATAGTATGGACGAAGCGTTTTTAAAAAATCCTCCGGTAGGGTCATGGTAAAGTTTTTCAACGACTTGTTGCCCGTATATATTTTTTTTATATTCTAAAAACTAAAAAACGAAAAACTGTTTTGTTGTTAAGTACTTAAGAATGGAAAAATAAATTATATGATGTCTCATACATTCTTAAAGAAACCGGGTCTCAAGATGATCTCGATTTTTCTTCCGTCGACAATTCTGCAACCCAACAATTGACTCCAGTAGATAACAACTTCAATAATATGCAAATTACCAGAAACGAATGAAATCCCGATCGAATTTCGGGTGTATTTCAAGGTTAATCTGACTTTTCCGCAATGAACCGTTTCCATGCATTTGTCGGTAGGAGTTAGTTTGATCTTTTGAAGATCAATGGTGAGATGAGGCCTTTTGACGTTGCGAAATTGAGCATTGTGGAAAAAAATTTTATTAACTGTGATTCAATGGAAAATCGAAGGGAATGATTATTTGGAGGGTGATGTTAAGGCAAAAGGTACCCGTGCATATTGCTTATTACTTACACTTTGGCCCGAATTGGTATTTCTCTAAAGGTTCTCGTTCTAAACTTCCAATCCACGGCATCCTATTCCCAGATCAAGAAATCTGATGGATTTTAAAACTTCAAAAACCCTTATCTATCTAAAATCACAAAAGTTTAATTCGCTGACGCATCACACCTGCAGAGGAAAATTAACCGTGATGACCCAGGGATTAGGAATGCATGGGGTAAACGGAATGATGAGGTGATATCAAACATACGTTAAAGTTACGGAAGAAATAAATTAACTACGTACGTTCCTTTTTCCGTCGTTGATTATTCCGCTTATAGGTCCGCTCAGGAAATTCTACAACACTTGAATAAATGAATGAATACACTTCGTATAATTGGAAGAATTAACATTAATGTTACATTTACTTCTTATGCGTAATATTATTATATACAGTAATCTAGAGCATCTTACAAAAAAAAAAAAAAACATATTCTTTATTTAAGTACAGTATATTTGACTTGACTTAATACTATTACTAACGTATATATAAAATAATTCTTGTCCTGCTTAGAGAGTAATGATGTGATTTTATCAAATCTACTACACAGTAATTGTATGAACCGACGGCAAGGGTTTAACTACTACGTATCGGAAAACCAATAATCTGGATTTGGCCTATCAGACTTATGGTATTTACTGTATTGTCGTGATCACACGGATCTTGAAAAAGGAGTCCCTTTGTTACTTCAATAAATCTTGAAACTAGCCTAACGCTCAGATTCGAAAATGATGATCTTTTTTTCTGTTCCGAGTTCAAACATCCCACGAATGTTCATATTATTCTCCATTCCAGGTTTTTGTTGAGAGTTATGTCAAATGAGGGAGTGAAATAACAAAGTCGCGATCAACTATGCGAGCGCACCTATAATGCAATGTATCCATCAACATCATGTATGTGATAAATTAAGTTGCGAAATAATCATCTCTCCTTTTGTCTGCAATTGCGTTAAATATTTAAAATGCATGATATGGACATTGTTATTTGATACAAATAAATAAACAAACAAATAAATAAATAAATAAATAAATAAATAAAAAAAGATGCTGGACTTTTTTTGGTCTACTAAAAACTATTCTGGTTTAAAGAACTCCACCGCGATATATGTAGGTATCATCTCCCAATTCACAAGACCAAAATATGTATCTCTTTATTCCCTTGTCAAATTTCTCTCTCTCTTTCTTTGATTCATAACGTCCCCTCAGAGGAATAGGTTTTCTCCATGATTCTCCCAAGTATTTCACAGGGGAGCCGCTCGACACTGTTTTAACAATTTGACCTGTTTTCATTGATCCTACCTCGATCATTTGATTTTGAAACGCTATGACAAAAATATCATCAATAGTTGGCAAAAGTGAAATTTGATTGGGCTCCGATTTCCAATGTATAGGTGGAGAAAAGGGATAAGGCTCTGCGTGCATATTGACAATGTGTGATGCCTTGGAAATAGTACAGATGAATATGTCCTTCGTAGCTTTGACCAGGTCAACCAAATTTCCTGACAAATATGTTTCAGCCGTGCTTTGAGATGCTGAGGTCGCATGTGTTTTCGGAAAATTATCATCGGACGCATTTTTCATTGGGGAAGGTGGTGGTGACGTAATGTACTCTAACAAGTCGTCTATAGATTCATCACTTGCGAAAATTTCCGGTGGGATTGTAAGTTTAGGTGTCGATATTGTACTCGCATGCCGTGATTCATCGTCTGGCACATTCTTCTCTGATGTCGTTTGATTTGATTCGTCGGTTGGCGGAGGTTGCAAAGGTTGACTGCTTGCGGAGGTGACATCCGAAGGTTGGCTTCGCGAGCGTCTTTTTTCCACTTTACTGTGTAATGATCTTTTTAATGTATTTGATACAGTGAGAGGTGTTGGTGGTAATTTCAGACTTGATGAACTTTCCTGTGATGCCGACGTCTGAGACACCTCTGGTGTTAAAGAGATGATGTGTTTCTTAGATTCGAATTTTACGGGATTATCAAAAAGAAAATCCAAGGAACAAGAACGCGGAATCGGCGTAAAACTGATCCAACATGGTGAATCTACATCACGTGGAATCAAGTCCTTATTCATATCGAGTTCAATGACCGTGCTTGTATAACAATCGATGACTACCGCTCGTTGATCCATTCCGGCAATTATTTGTTTGATGGTAAATGAATCCGTAAAGACGCTAATGAAGCTTGGTGTCGTTGGTACAAAGTAGGAATCCAAATATTCAAATTTACAATCTGCTTTGTACATCGATTCCGTTGAACATGAGAATAAAAGTATTGAATGGTTGATTGTGACCACCGTTAGATAGACATAACTCTTCGTCTCTTTGATGTCGAATGCCACGCAACCTTTAGCAGCTTCCGTTAGCTTTATGTAATCTGTCGCCCACGTCCAGACATTGATTCTCTCATCGGCGCCGATGTCAATGTCATCAATTGAGTTGGATAGATGTTGCTGAATGAAATCCGAAATATGTAAAGAGATACTCGACAACTGCCGACGATGAAATTTTCCTGAAGAAGCAGATGAGGACGATTGTGATACATTGGATTCATCTGTGTTGGAATCCGAACCATCTTGAGTGTACTTACAGTTTGAACAAATTACATTATCATTTTTTCGATCTCCCCCGCGAACTTTGTCCAAATAACGACCGCATATCTCACATTTCGGCAAAGAATCTGTTACCTTTCTTAAGAATGGCGGCACCTTTGAGAAGTCGATTGGTGTTCCTGATTTCGAGTTGATGACAAATTTTATCAAGTGCATCAAGGATTTCAGCTTGTACACTCGCATCGTTTGTCTTTTTCCAGCGATGGCAATCATCACTCCATAGTCATCAAGTATTTGTAACTTTTTAAACGGGCATCCACGTAAAAGTTGTTTCGGTTTCATTATCTCCCAACGGACCGAGAAATCCATCACGAACAAGCCAGTGTCATTTCCAAGAAGCAAATATTGTTTATCAAACAAAGCGGCGCAATTCATCGGATCGGCGGAACCAACATTTGGAGATCCCAAGAGTTTACTTTCAAATTCACCTTTGTTCACCGAAGAAAGGTTACGCGCCTCATATTTGACAACCGTGGGGGCACGGTGTAAACTCGATTGCTATTTCCCCAAATGAGAAGTTAATGAACAATGGCTTGTATATAATTAGAAAGACTATTCTATCTAATATTCTTTTTTTACCTTTCTACCCACCGCCGGATCATTCTCGGTGGGACGAAAATTGAATTGAGTTTTCGACGTCAAAGCCTCACCCTCACGCAAGAGGGTTGAAATAATTTTTTTACCACGCGTCGAGTTTTTGCTTGGCAATGGCAATGGAATCTCCTCATTTGAACCATAGCTTCCAATAGGATTAACCCCCAGATTGAGACCAGGAGTATGCTTACTACTTTTCTGTTTTTGCATTTCCGTCAAAAACAGAAATTCCGAATGGCTCATCCGTCATACGTACAGTACATTCTTATATCCAACATGTCATGCATGGAATTTTCTGTGATTCCTTTGATCATTGCCATTTCGGTCGGCCGCGTATTTTTAGAACTGCAAGACCCAGATTAAGTTTTAATAGATATACAGTGCAGTAAATATTGAGTAATACCGGATATAATCACATATTAGGTAGCAATAAAGTGTACGTCTTTTTTTTCAGACATAAAAAAAAAGAAACTTATTTCATTATACCTGATATGGTTGTTGTTTTTTGGATAGAATAAAAAAATATTTCCTTAATGAAACAAGTATTTAATATAAATTGAAAGGATTATAAAAAATGAAATCACCTTTGCGTATTAATTTTAAAATAGGGCTCGATGTGACACTGAACCTAACCGAGGAACATGTAAACACAATGATAAAACCTCACGATGTGAAACAATCTGCAAAATCGCATAGTTTAACACGGCCGATCGTTAATGGAGAAACGAAACGAACAATGGACATGGTACCTAACCATTCATAATGCAGGAACGACATTGCATAGTTTATCCAATTCGCGATCAAGAAAACTTTCCACGTAATTAGGAAACCGATACCGAAATATGCAAATAATAATAAGGAAAAATCACTTTGTATATATAAGCTCTCGAGACAAACCATGATGTACTAATTGACAATCACTAGCATAAACAAAAGGTCGGCTTTGTTAATTATAAATCACTTTAACATTGGGTGTCGCCGACAATTATCAATGTAGTTAGATTAAATGCCACGTATGGTAAATCATCCAAATCATCTCGAGAAAGAGATATAAAAGGATGCAAGAAAAGGAACGCCGGGTGAAAAACGATTGTATATGGAAATTTCATGTGACGATGTCTATTGTTTTATGCATATAAGGAAATCGTAAGATTTACGTACTCTCCCCCTTCGTGTCGGAAAATTAAAGTAATACGCGATACTCAATTAACGGTCATTCTAAATGAAATATTTTTTTACCTCCATCGCTTTCAATGCATTACAGTACAAAGTTCTCGTTATTATAGTCATATTATTATTTACGGTTTATTGTGATTGTCTAATGATATATTTCGTTTACAGTAATTATAGATTAAACAAAATTTTTATTTCATTACATCTTTTTTTTTTAAAAAAACAAACTTTTAATTTTGAACGATTTGAATAGATTAAGAACATTAATTTTGTTTATAATAAAAAACTTGAACTGAATTTTACGATTGACTCGATATTATAAAAATATAAAATGATTAAAAGAGATTTATTTAACTCATCTATTTTTTAAATATCTAATTAATATATACGCAGTATACTATATTTACTCTTTTTTTTTTTTTTAATTTACTATCAGGTTAATATAACTGCTTTTTATTGCATGGTATTTAATATATTTACAAATTATAGAACTTTCACATATTAACTTATCTATTATTGAAATTTACCTTCTTTAGATGTAACTTAGGAAATAATATTTTACTTATTTGATGATTTGAATTATTCTTTAATCATCAAGTTTTTTACTTAAAATTCATATTTATAAATTTTCTAAAGTTTTGATTAACAGATTAAAAATTTAGCAATTTATTACTTTAGATAATTTATTTCTTACTAATCATCATTATTCGTTTTATCAAAAAACTCTTTTCCAAAAATTTCAAAAACCATAAAAATTTCCTTTTTTGGCAAAAAACATAAAAAACGAACTCTATCTCCATTACAAAGTAGCAACTGGCCCAAGATGGCTTCCATGAGGAAGCTAAGAAGCCTTGCAAGGCAGACTACACTGGAATACAATATCGACAGGATCAGCAGGAACAACGAAAAAACCTTGAAACTCAAAGCAACAACTCTCTTCTTGTAACTCAGATACACACCACTAGGAACCAGAATGGCTAACCAAAAGAAACCATCAGACAAGGGGAAAAAGAAGAAAGACGGAAACCAAGCAAACAGAATAGAGGTTGAACCAAACAGGCAAGAGACAGAGAAGGAAAATGAAACCAGCCACAGAACTAGCAGAACACCTTCAACAGACACAGTGAACACCATTGAGAACGAAACAACCCTGGACACCACAGATAAAGAAAGCAGCCCAAATATCACCAAACAGATTGGATACAGCTATGAAAGCCAGGAAAATGAATAGGAAACCTCTACTACCTCCCAGAAACACCAAGGACATCAAGAAACCCTTAGATCAGGAAAAGCCTTCATTGATCCAGATCTAGTTCATGAATAAACAGTCAGAGAAAAAATAGAATTCATCAAACAAAAAATGATGCACCTTCTCTCTCTGAAATATGTGAGATATGAATATTCAATCAGAAAACCACAGATCGCCACCATTTTAAGCAACTAAGAGGAAGCACACATGGCATATGAAACAAAACTCACAAAGAATAAAAACACCAAATTCAAGAAAACTGCCTCTCTTGGATCCCAAAAGAGCAACTCCCGCACAATCAGAGTATGGGACATCCCCTACACTTTACCAAAATGGATCTAGCAGAATTTTTCAATAAACAAATAAACATCAACTACATTATCCTATAGAAAGCTAGACTATTCCAGACAGCAAACATTACCTTTTTCAACACCTTTGAATATGTAGAGATCAGTTAGAAATGGTTACTCACTCAAGGATACTATTTATACAGAATATTCCCATTCTACAAAACTCACAAGATCAAAGAAGAAAGAGAGTGCTACAGTGCTACCCTCACCAAACTATCACCTGACACAACAGTATCTAACTTGATAGTGATTATCATAAACACAAGAGCAAAATCAGTATATATATCTTGGAAAAACAACAATCAAGCTAAAAGATTTGCTGTTTTCACCTTCCAGTCCAGAGAAGATCTCCAGGTAGCTAGATCGTTAGCCCCCCTAATAAGAGAAACACAAACACAATGGGTCCAATGAGAGACCCCCCTATACTGCATTTGTGACTTACCGGAATATAACATGTACTTATGCCCTAATAAACCAGAGATATTCCCAATGAGACAACACATGAACAGGTCAAACAATCCCAGGATCATCATGCATCAAGGCAGCAGAAGAACTCCAAACCAAGATATATAAAGGTATCCCAGCACCAGAAATAACCCAAGGAGCTATGCAAACATCCTGAAATATGGTCAAAGACCGGAGGATAAACAAGGTTACAATGACATCTTGAACATACTGTTATCAGTCCAAAAGAAAATAAAGGAAATGAAGAATGAACTAAAAAACCTGGTAAAAAGTGTGAATGCCCTAGAACAGGAATGCGCAAACAGGTACTCCGAAAGTATCAATGAACTCATGGAGGACCTGGAAGAGGACACAAACACTCATAGTGAGGAGCAACCAAGAGACCTTAGAGACAGTATCCAAGACATAAAGAAATCCCAAAAAGCATATCAACAACAACTGAACAGAATGAGTATAACAATAGAAGAGTTGATCAACCTTGTCAAATTATCACAACAGACAGTCCCAGAGGGATGCAATTCAATATATTAACATGATAAAGAGCAACATAATAAAATCCCAAAAAGGGGAAAGAAGTAAACAAAAAATCTCAACACCACCTGAACTAATACCAATCATAAGACCATCTCATAGCAAACAACATATCACAGGACAAAGTCAAAGACATAAAGAAAAGAATGACACTATCAATCATGCCTCATGGACAATCGCAACACATAACATTAGAGGCATGATAGAAGACAACAAACAGAACTTCTGGCTAGAATACTGTGTAGAGAAAGACTAGGAGATTATCATCACAACAGAAACCAATGGAAATGAATAGCAGATTAAACACTGGAAACATGACAAGTATCAGCTGACCATATCAATTGATGAATACCAAAAGATAGGACATGGAGTTAGCCTAGCTATACACAAGGACATCGTGGCCAGAATATTCAAAAAACAAGAGATTAAGGAAAGGGCCATAGTAATAGATATGGTATTCTTAAGGAAACACAAACTCAGGATTATAGAAGTATACCTTCTACCAAGAAGCAGCAACAATAGAAACAAGACAGAGATAGAGAATACAATATAGGAATGGATAACACAGACAGAGAGAATGAATGCACATATCATAATAGGCAGAGACTTCAACACTACCCCAACCCAGTCATGGACAAATGGAGTCCTCATAGACAACCAAACAGCTGCCAACTGGAGTCAAAGTTGCTGGAATGGTTAATAACCAAGAACTTTATCGACACATTCAGAATGCATAACCCAACACAGAAGAAATTCAAATGGAGCAACAGTAGAGGAATTCACAGCAGAATCGACCAAATATGGTACCAACCACAAGAAACCTGGCAAACTAGGAGCTTAAATATAATAGATCACCCAGATGCCCTACACAAGAGTAACCACAAAATAATGATCACCAGAGTGGACATATGACAACTTAATAGCAACAGTCACCAGAAGATTCACAGAAGCAATCCATGGTACAACTGGTGCAAAACAAACACCAAATAGTGGGAAAAATTCAAGAGTACAGTTGAAGACAATATAGAAACCGGAAATGGATCAGAACAAGAAAACATAGAAAACAAATGGAACAGATTCAAACAAGCCCTCCTCATAGCAGCAAGCCATCACATCTCCAAAATAAAATCCAAGAAGATGAACAAGAAACTGGGAAAACCTCCAACCCTGTACAAGAAAATTACCAACATCCAGGTCCTAGTAGAACTTCTCCAAAGAAACATTAACACTCCTAACGAATATACAGAATGTCTTATATAAAACAAGTCAACGATATACAAAAAGATTCTCAGAGTTAACAGAGGAGTTGTTAGCATGTAAACTATCCAGCCAATAAAATAAACAAATACAATGGAAGAAGATATGCTGGGACCATATTATCTAGAACAAAACTGCCACCAAACTTATAAACAACTACCAGAAAAACAGGAGGATACAGCAAC